CCTGTCTACAGAAAAGAAAACTGAAAGCGTCTTTCTTCATGAACATCAGTCGTGTTTTCCTCTTTTTCCGTAACGGCACAGGTATGCTGGCATTTCCTGGATACAGGGGTGCGGGTAAAAAGGGGAGATACAGACGGCATGGTCTGACGGGTGTTGGCACAGCCTTGTGATCCTTGCTCTCCTCTCATCCTGGCAAGTCCTGAGCCCCTTCAAGGAGCACTCTGCCATCTGATCAGCGTCCTGTGACAGGAAGCTCTCCTTCCTGGCTGTTGGAGCGCATTCCTATGTGGATGTGGAGAGCGAGCCAGTGAGCGAGATAGAACCAGAGCCAGCCCAGGAATGTGAGTATTTCCTTAATTGGACATGAGAGCCTTGAACTGATTCCAGTTGGAGTGTTTTCTTTTAGGGCTGGGACCCCAAAGATTCCAGAGTTTTCTTTCTCTGAAAAATCTCTTTGGTTCAAAGGCCCCTTGGTAGAAGTAAAGCAAAAGCCAGGGATGAATCTCCTTGATATTTGGGATGGCAAGAGTTCAGGGGCTGCCAGCTGGCTACAGGCTGCTTCTGGGGGGAGTGAAGGTGGATGGTCCTCCAGAGACAGTCCACTGACCTTCGCAGGATGCCCAGGCTTGTGTGTTAGTCTGTGGAGCCCTCATGCAAAATGCTATTTCTTTGAGTATTTAGAGAATTAGATTTCTCTCGGCTGCACTGGCACCCCAAATCCTGGAGAAAGAGGTTCCTAGGGCCTGCTATGATTGCTTGAAGAGTCTCAGACAGGCAGATCAAGCAACAAACAGCAGTGTCAGTCAAAGACTGCAGTGTTTGGTCTGGCTAGCTCAAGTTGCCTCCTGTTGTTGCCTGCTAATTCCTTTAGAACTAGGGCCTGTTCCCACCCTCACGTCCGACTCAGTCACCAGCTGCCTAATCTCTGGCTGGGCACTTCTAAGGAACTAAGTCACAGAGGTGACAGGGGACACGCTAGGACATTGAGAGTACATTAGTGGCTGCCAAGCAGGGCACCCCTAATTGCCCCTGAAACCTGCTCCTGAATAGCTATAAGTGTCACTCAAGGGACTCCAGGGGGAAAATTGGAGGGGGGCGTGACTGAAATAAGTAAAAAAACTGCAGCGGATGCCATCCATTCTGCCAACCCCCGCTTTCCCCCAAGTACCTGAAAAACAAGCCCTGGGGCTGCTCCGTGCTTTCCAATGCACCGAGTGTTTTCATAACATCATCTCATTTCATCCTCACCTCAACCCACACACATTCTGGCCTTTCAGATTTCTAATGTAGTCAAATGAGTTTCACCAAAAAATTGGCTAGAAACTCCCCATCTCCTACTCACTTTCTTCTTTTTTTTTTTTAAGCTCAAATCTTTTACATGCTATCTTTAAGAAGCTCCCAGATTCCCAGGGTGCAAAATATGTTTATTCTACCAGTTCTCCCTTATACAATGGACATCTGGCATCTTGGTCTTTGCTAACAGAACCAACTGTTGCATTTGGTTCATAATCTAGCTGCGAAACCAACCAAAGCCACAGAAGCCATGATAAGGCTGGTATTGTGGGAGAGGACAGAGGTTTTGGGAGCAGGAAACCCCAAAGTCAAATTGTGGTTCAAGCCATTTGAGAACCATGTGGCCATGGCCAAATTTCTGACCCTCTCCCCCTGTGATGTGGTGCCGATAGAAGCCCGTGTCTTAAAAGGACCTGGATGTAAGCACAGCTCAGCAGATGTTGTCTCTTCACGTACCGTTTTCCTCCCCCAGGGCAGATAGTGACATTGTCAAGCCCCTTACAGTGAACAGAAATTTGCGGCTTCACTGCTACTAGGCAAACGGCATGCAACGCTGTCTTTTTGCAAGCCAAAGAGTGGGAAAATGTAGACACGCTCTGCCAAACTGCTTTGGGTAGAGACTTCTTAAAAGTAGGTGCATAATAAACTGCATGCTCTGCATACCATGGCACAGTTGCAGCTGAGATAACTAGTAAGATCTCAAGTTCATTATCTTTATCCGTTTTAATATATATATACATATATATATTTGAGGTGGAAGAGAGAAGGAGCTGGGCAACTGGACTTAAGTAATGTTAGGAAACAAGGCAATTCCGACTTTATCGGGATTTTTTAAAAAGCAGAATTGTAACTCAATCCTGAAGCCCCTCAGGATATTGTGGGAGGAGGTGGGGAGAGCAGAGGACTCTAACTAGGTGCTAGGGTCGCAGATCTGAAAGTAGCAGATGCTCAATAACTGTTGGTGAGGACTTGGGCAGGTTAGAGTCCCAGTCTTGGGTTTGATCTTTGCTGCTGACTCCTTGGCAATTACAGCTTAAGAGGTAGTGTTCTTGAGTGGATAGAAGGTCCTTGTTCAGGTCCCATCTCCACCAGCTAATAGCCCATCGATCTCGGACATCTAACCTCTTTCCTGTCTTCTCACCTGTAAGATGAGAAGACTGGATGAGGTGATTTGGAAGGTCTCTTTCAGCTCTAAGGTTCTGGGGTTCTAAGCAACTTTATTCACAGGTGTTTCTTCTTTTATACTAAGGCAATGGGGAATGGAAGCTCATTGTGAAGAGCCTGCCATGTCCAGGTTAACATACTGGGCATCGCCAGAGATAGCAAAGAAATGCAGCAAGACAGAACAATGCAACAAAGTGGGATGCTGACTCTGCCCAGCCCATTCGCTTTCTAGCTCAGTGACCTAGCTCAGGTCCCCTAATTTATTTCAGCCTCAGTTTGCACACCTGTCAGCTGGGGACCATACATGGAACTTTGTTAATCTTATCATGTTCTTTTGAAAGCCAAGGTCATAGAAACCCTTTTAAAATCTGCCAAGATATTTTATCATGTAGTAGCATTGTTGCCAAATGGCATCCTTATTAGGATGGCATCAGAGTTTGGTGGCGTGCCTCCTGCATTTTCAGATGAATGAAAGTCACTCTAGTTCCTGTACAGACTCAGCCTTGCAGTCTCAGCCCAAGGCTGATCTTGATGTCCTGACAGAAGTGAAAGTTAGCCAAAATGGATGTCCACACACATTTGCCAAAGAGAGCCTTTACAGAATGACCTTCCCTTGCTCCAGGGTAGGGGTCACATAAGTGCTGGTGAGGACCTTAGCTCTCACTCTTCTCCAAACCAGGGCCCTGTTGACATTCAGGTAGGAGTGTGTGTGTGTGTGTGTGTGTGTGTATGTGTGTGTATGCTCACATGCGCACACACCTGTGGGACGGCACCTGTGGGATGGCGGGGGTGAAGGGAGAAAGGCCAGGCAGCGGACACCATTCATTCAGATTTTGCAAGTTTCACAGTGCCCTCCTCACCGGTGAGTGAAGCAGGCATGTTGTGACAGCCTTTCATTGCAGTCCTAGCTGGAGATCAGAGGTGGCTCCTCCGGAGTGTTGGCACAAGGTTTCGCCCTGATGGCCCTGGGGGCCTGGCTCACGCCTCCTTCTTGGAGGGCCCTGGAAAGTCCCAGCCAGCAAACCAGCCCTCCCGGTCCTGGCTTCTCTGTTGGCTGCCAGGATAATTTGTCACACCCAACCCAGGTAGTGGCTAAGCTTCCTGGGCCTGAGCAGAGGGCACCAACGGGCCCTCCGGCAGCAGGAGCAGCCTAGCACCACCTCCAGAGGAACAGGGCATCCGGCCCACCGCCCAGCACAAATCTGCTTCTGGTTTAGGGAGGACTCCTAACTCCCTCAGGCAGAGGGGTCAGCTAGGGGCTTGTGAGGAAGCACTGGTTTTGCTCCACTTGAATAGAGGGATGATTGACAATCACAAACACCACTGTAAGTAAATAATCTTTATCAGTTTTTTTTATTTGGAACAGTTGGGGTAGTGGGTAGATCTGATATCATCAGGAGGGTCTCTTCCCTCTTATGAACCTGTCACTGTTGTTGATCCCTTCCCATTAATTCTAGCATCTTTTCGCCACACTTTGAAGCACATACACATGGCTTCAGTGTACACCCTGTCTTGCTTTCAAAGAACCGACTGTCTTCAAAGCAGATTTAATATCGCCTAGTGGTTGATACCAGCCCCCTTCCCTGGCTCCTGGCGTCACTGAAGCCGAGGCCACCCACTGGCCCAGCCAAGCTCCCCGCAGCCTGGCTCAGTGGACTGCGCCGCTCCACCGCCTGGACAGACCCGGAGCTGCAGGGCCTGAGCAGTGAGTGTGGGGAAGCGTGCGGCCCCAGCTCTTTTGCTGCGGCTGTCACAGCAGCGCAAGCCCCCCGCTCCATGCAGCTCTGGGCGCCGGGGCTTGCTTGGTGTGTTGGAGTGTGTGCATGTCCAGCGGGGGGAGGGGGAATCCTAATACGGCAACACATCCCTTCTCTTGCGACGCTAGACCTCCACGGACCTCAGGGCAGATTAGCCCCTCGCGCGCCAACGCGACCCCGCGTGCGCTCCGGCCTCGGCCCCGCGCCTGTCCTGCCTTCCCAGCGCTCTTCTCCAGCGGTGCCTGCTTAACGCGAGGCTAGCCCACAGGAGAAGGGACCCCCCACCCCCATCCCTCCAGGGCGCTGCGGGCAAGCTAGCCGGGGAGAAATCTCTTTAGGGAGATAGACGCAGAAGACGGGGCCCGAGGGACCCGCCGGGTCGGCGAGAGCGAGCTGGGACTGGATAAACTGCGCCCTAGCCGGCGGCCTGCCCAGCAAGCCCAAGCCGGTGGCCTTTGAGGGCCCCGGCAGTGGGGGGACGGGGAGTGTGCGGGGACGTGCTGCAGGCGCCACGCTGACATTGAACTCCAGCCCAGGGCGTGCGGGCTTGCGGGTGTGCGGGTGTGCGCGTGCGAGTCGCGCGGAGGGGCCGGGAGTTGCGGCAAAGCACGGCCCTGGGGAAGGCCGAGCCGAGCGCGCCCCCGCGCCGCCGCCCGCTGCAGCTGCGAGCGCCAAAGCCATTCATGATTTTGGTGACGTTATTCCAGGAGTGGGCGAGGGGGAGGGACCTCTCGAAGCTACGCTCCGCCCCCTCTGCTATAAATGCTGCCTCCCCGGCTCTTTGTGGGGCCGGGATCGCGGTGGCGAGCGGGGCGCTCCGTGTGCTCCTCCGACGCCGCTGGCAGTGGGGCTGTCTCGAGACGGGCGGACCCACTTGGCGTCCGACACCTCCCTCGGCCGCCTGCTGCTGCACCCGTGTCCTCCTTTCCCCGGACACAGGGATCATTTTTCCATCACGAGGGCGTGGGTCAGCCTCCCCTAGGACTTCATGTCTGTATATTTCCCCATTCACTGGTGAGTACCCCGCGCCCGCCCGTCTGGTTGCCGTGCGTGGCTCAGGGGCGAGTGTAGCAGGGGGTGTGCGCCTGAGCGCTAAACCCGCAACCAGAGCCCGTGCAGGAGTCAAAGTCAAGGTTGTGAGGGTGGTGGGGTGGGAGGAGGTGGCTGTGAGAGCATCCAGACAAAGGAAGTGAACTCGGAGCCCTGGCTGAAGTGACCGCCAGAAGGTGTAGGGGGGGTGTGTGTGTGTGTGTGTGTGTGTGTGTGTGTGTGTGTGTGTGTGTGTGTGTGTGTGTGTGTGTGTGTGTGTGTGTGTGTGTGTGTGTGTGTGTGTGTGTCTTGCTGCTGGTATTGGTGGCGTCCAGCCAGGGGTCGCGTCGGAGACCCCTCTGCGGAGAGCTGCGGGAGGCGCGCGCCCCGCCTGGCGCAGGGGGGCTGCTGCTCTCCCGGGCCCCTCCCCTTTTTCTTTTTGTTTGCAAGCGCGTCTCGGCGTCGAGGCTGCAGCCGGGCTGAGCTGGTGTAAGCCGCCGCTTTTGCACAGCTCGGGGCAGAAGCTCTCTCTCCACCCATAAGCCCACTGAAACCACCAGCAGCAGCACCTGACGCCGCACGCTTCCGACCCCTGGCCTCTCTGTAGCCAAAGCCCCCAAGCCCTTTAGTGCCGGCCCCCGGGGTGGGCCAGGAGCCGCCTGGCTGGGGGCGGGCGGTGGAGGTTTGCCCCCGCCAGGGAAGGATGCGGAGAGAGGCCCTCCCCCGCCCCTCACGGCCGGTTCTCACGCGCCGGCTGCCTCTTCCTTCCTGCGCTGGGGTTAGGGAGGAGATGGGGTGGTGGGGTGGAGGTGGGAGAAGATCGGGGTGGTGAGAGTCCGTGGCCTCGGAGTGTGCCCAAGGGTACGGGCGTGGACAGTCAGGCCCGCAGGCACCCGGGGAGGGGAAGCTGGGGCTCCAGCCTTGGGCGGCAACCGCTAAGTTCACGCTTTTCTTTTCGCTTCAACTTTTCATGACCTGCGCCAAAGGCCGCCAGATCAGGGACCGAGCTCCACTAAGCAGGCCTTCCTCTTCTGGGGTCTTCCTCCCGAGGGTTGGGGACGGCTTGGGACGAAACTATAAGATTGGGAGTTTGGGCTACTGACGCTCTGCTTGTCCGGAAGTGCAGCATCCTGCCCTGGTCTCCCACCTCTGTCCCAGTCCCAGCTCCTGCGCAGCGTGCCCACATAAAACTCCCCTCCCCATGTGTGTAAACAGCCAGGTGCCCTGTGCCCGACGCTTGCAGCCTCTTGGCAGCATTTCCAAAGTGGCATTGGGGGGCTCATCAAGGATAAAATCCCTTGTGAAATTAAGGCTAGGGTTACTTTATTGGTGAGCAGTTCATCCTTTGCACTCTTTCCCTCTAGCCATTAGCCCTTACCTCACCTGGGAGACACACTTCATTAACATCCCAGTAATGTACAAAACCAGGGCAGCTGTGACTCGGAAGAGAGGACCACTAGGTTCAACACCACTAGGCTCTTGAGGCGGCAGAGCCTGGACCAGAGCCTACAGAGCTGGCTCCAAACCCAATGCCATTTCTGGAAACCTGGTGGCCCTGTTCCCTTAGACACAGCCCTTCCACCACCTGAGCTGTCTTTCCACACATGCACAGTGGTGAAAATGCTGGTCTTGTGCAGCGGGGGGCCTGGGTTTGCTCTGTGTGCTTAGTATTCTGCATACAGGGTCCTGTGTGTGTGCAGGGCTGAGGCATGGAGAATGGGACATTTGTATCCTGCCCAGAGATTAAAAAACACTTCCACATGTCAGCCATTGGTGGGCCAGCGCAGCCCCTCTGGAAATTTCCTTTGCAATCAGAGTCTGGGTATCCTTAAGGCTTTTTTAATCCTGGGGATGTTTTTCAAGCTGTGAGCTTGCAGCTGCTGTGGCTTGGGCTGGAGAAGGGGGTTGGATGACAGATGTGAGGTTGGCAGAAAAGCTGACCCCTTGGGGCTCTAAGTGGGACAGTTTGCCAAAAGGAGCACCAGAAAGCTGAAAAGAAACCTAGGAAGGAGTGGGGGAATTGGGGCTGGGATCTTTGTTTCCCTGAGGCTGCCCTGTTACCATTGTAGTTGTAATTTGTAGTTCCCCTCTGGAAAATTCATGAGGGTGATTTTTATGCACGGGTGGAAGGGTGAGGGGGACCTGGCCGTGTGGGTTTTCATGTGGATGGACAGATCAGCTGCCTGCTTACTGTTTGGGTTTTGGCTGGTGCTGGCTGTCGCTGAAAGGAAACCCAGGGTGATTCTGCAAGCTGGGGTGGGGGAAGATCTGCCAGGGGCAATGGGCTTTGTTATCTTTGAACCGGGTACTGTGGGCTTGCAAGGCACTCCCTCAGAGCTTGTTTTTTATGTGAACACCTCTCATCCTGTTTCCAGACACCCTCCCTTTCCCCCTTGATCTCAAGGCCACAAGTGCACTAGAGAGGAGGAACACAGAGGTGCGAGTGTTTGCTAACTTTAGTTCTGGGTTTCTTGGCAGCCCTGACTATCTGAGATCGGCCGAGATGACCGAGGTGATGATGAGCACCCCATCCATGGAGGAGATTGGCCTCAATCCCCGAAAGGACGGCCTTTCCTATCAGGTAGGTACGGGCAGCCCTCTAACTTGCTGGGGAAGGCTGCTGTGAGGGGAGAATTCTCCCTGGTGCCAATACCTGGCTGGTTGACTCAGTTACTGATAGAACTGTAGATTTGGAAGAGTTGTGTCCCCAGGGGTGCTGTTGCTGGAATCCAGCTTAGAGGCAGACCTAAAGGTCATAAAGACCACAAAAAGAAGCCAACAGACACCTTTGTACCCTTGTCCCAGCATGTTCTCTCTCTGGTGGGGGGGACGGAACACCACCCCTGGCCTCTGGGGCAGTGAACTGCTTTTGGATTTTCAACAAGTGCACCTAGCTAGTAAGTTTGGGGGAGGGAACAGTTTGTTTCAGGGCCAGGGACTGGCTCAGGAGGGACAAAGGAGGTGTGGTGGGTCTGTTCTGCAGACACCAGTTGCATGCCCAAACATGTTGCTCCTTGTTCGTTACCTTATGTACCTTCATGGTAGCTCCTAGAGGGGAATTCCTCTTGCCTTGCTTCAGGAATGTGCAAACAGGTCCAGCCAGGGTCAGTGCCTTGGATCTCCAGTTCTGGAGTCCTGCTCTGCTAATGCATCCTGTGTCTACTGCTTGGACTTGCCATGATGGCTCATACCCCAGAACCAACTATTGCAGGGGCTTGAAAGAAGCAAATAGAAATCTGGAATGGGGAGAGGGTGAACAAAGACAGCCACGGAGAAGGCTTGGGTTGGGGGCCAGACTGCAGGTCTGTGTGGCCCCTTGGTCTTATGTCAGCACCGTCAAGGCCCCTTGCTGCTTGGAGACCAGTACCTTGGCCTGCATGGGATGAGGGACTAAAGGAGAATTCTCTGGTCTGGTTTGGTTTTATGTGCTCCTCCCCCATAGCGGATCTAAGGAGGGCAATTGAGGGCTACACAGCCAGTGGAAAGGTATAGAAGTTTCCTGGCTCACTAGCTGGGCTGTTTTTGGATACCAGTTTCCAAGCCACTGAGTCAGACTGAATCTCTTTGTGGTTACAGGTGAGGTTTCCTTTCAGTTCAGGTTATATTTTCATCACTGAACCTTTCCAGACACAGTCCCTACTCTGTCTTGCATCTGCCTGTTGCATTCTCCCTTCGAACACTTGCTAAACCCAAGTGCCAAACCCAAGTGCCAGGCCCTGCTGGACAGCCTTCTCCAGGCCTTGACTTCCCCAGACCCCGAAGTGTTGAGGCTGGCAGTAGCGATGAAGGCCAAGGTGGGGCTGCATTGGCCAGAGGAGATTGTAGAAGCCACCTCTAGGCTCTGGAGGGGCCTCGGCACAACCTGGGAAAGGACCTCAAATCTGGTGGTGCTGGAGCAAGGGCCCACTTCTCACAGCTTGCGTCCTGCCTGATGGGGACTACTGTGGACTTCCAGTGTCTGCTCTGGAACTTTAGGCCATGCTGGCACACAGGCATGGCGGAAAGGCCTCTGAATGCCTATGACAGCAAAGGGAGAGGTTGTGGCATTAGGCTGAGCAACATTGACTGGGCATTTTCTCTGTTGACCTGCTATGCCAGGCACTGCACTGAGGGTCCAGGACATCCACACAGACACCTGGAACATAGGCAGCCTGGCTGATCGAGGTGAGGGTGATCCAGAGGCTGCAGGCACTGCTGGTGTGGGTGGTGAGAAGACAAGTCAGGTGCCAGCGATAAGGAAGTGACACTGAATCCAGGGACAGATAATAAGGAAGTGACAGGTAGTTCAAGTTTGGGTGATAAGGAAACAACAGTCAGCCTAGGTATGGTTCATCCAGCAGCTATAGTCAATCTAGGTATAGGTGACAGCGAAATGACAATTTCACCATGTATGGAAGACACCAAAGAGACAGTCCAGGTAATTATGGAAGTGACATTCATCCAGGTACAGGTGGTGTGAAAGCTACAGCCACTGCACCAGACATGGGTACTGTAACAGCTACAGTCACTCCAGGGGGCAGCCGATACAGAAACAGTCACCAGCCTAGGCTTGGGCAGCAGCACTGAAATCTGATGGGAATCTGAGAAGGCAACAAGGAGGTCAGAATGGAGTTGGGCTTTGAAAGAAAAGTGAATCTTGTGAGGGCAGTTCTGTCTCTCTCATCATTTTGCTGCACCTTTGGAAATCCCTAGTCCACAGGTACAGGGCTCTGCAACAAGCTGGGCTGACAATGGCCAGATGACAAACACTCTGGGCCCACTCATAGCTACTGCCACGCAATTAAACACTTTCCCAGCAGAGTTCTGGGGCTTGGCCAGGTCAGGCCCTTGGCTGCAGCTTGTCCACCACGCTCGCTGGGGCCTGGCTCAGAGCTGGGGGTAGAGGATGTTGGAGCCGTGTACTTGGCTTTCCTCCTGAGGATAAGAATAGGACGTGGCTTTTACTCAGACCTGCTTTTCCAAGGGCCTGGAGTGGGGAGAAGACATCAATCTTGGCTTGGCAGATGAAGTGCAATCTCAGGCTTATTGTATGACCTTGAATCAAGGTCATCAAATAAGTGGTCCGCTGGATTTCAGCCAAGATGGCGCCACCCTCCAGACCTGCCGAGAAGGAAGCCTTCCTGATTTCTCGGTGCCAGACGTGACCTTTTCTTCCATGCCAGTGGCATTTTGTACTTTCCAGAGATGCCAGGATGGGCTTTGAGCATGTGGGTCTGGCCTTCCCTTCTGCTTGCCCAGGTCCTTGAGGGCAGGAGATGGCTTTGTCACCAACTTGATACCTTCCAACCACTACCATCTTTCTCCCCGACCCTGGCTACCTGTGTACTCTTTCCGGAGCAGATACTTAAGTGAATGGTTGAGTCCCCTGCATCTGAAGCTGCCACCATCACTGCCTGTGGGCCTCCTGAGGAGCCTCTGGCCATGCCTACCAGAGTTACAGGCACATGCCTTTGGGGGAAAAGATTCAGGCAGACCCTATCTTGCCTTGTTTTGTGAGCATGTGCGGAAGTTCACAGAGCCTGCACACCTGGCAAGTCGGTTTAGAATGAGTGAGAGCCAAGTCATTCATTCACTTGGCACGAGGTGTGACACCCTACAGCATGAGCTAATAAGTAGTTCCTAGAAAGTCTGGACAGTTTCAGGTGGGCTGTAGGCATCGACCTGTGGGGAGCTGAGCAGGAGGCTCCCTGAGGACAGCAGCATCCCTGATGAGCACAGCTCCCTTTTCCTGCTGTGTCTGGGGCCTCTGAGGCTCCTTTCCTGTACCTCATTCAAGGAGGCCGCTCAGCTGCCACCTGCCAGAACCTGCTTCCTTCTCGACCCTGATGCCTCCAAGGCTGTGATGCCTGGGAACATTACCCTGCCTGGCTCTCCTCCCACACTGTGCCTGATGTGGCCTGGGCTCTGGATAGGGGACTGGTAGGTTGTCCTGGGAGTTTGCCTGTGGGCATTTATGCGGTGACCAGGTGAGAAGCACTGGAACCCTGACCTGTGCCCCCAGTGCAGCAGAGCACCACACCTTGAGGCTTCACAGCTCTGTCACGCTTGCAAAGCCATGGTTTCCATTTAAACCCACCACTTCTCCAGCATCTGAGCCAGGAGCTGGTAGTTTTCTCCTTCCCACAGCTCCTTAAATTGGCCCACATATGACCCTTCCCAGCATCCTTAGCTCCTATCGGTTGACATTGATCTGTCGGGGCTCTTGGAAGTCAGGGAGCATGCTGCCTAAATCCAGCAGGTGTGATTTCTCCCCACCCCGAAGGGCTGTGGCAGGTGCACGTCCCTGGCTGTCGCCCCCAGGAGGGCCTCCCTGTGTTCTGGAGTGGAGCAGGGCCCTGCTGTGCTGACCTGCCTTTGTTCCACCCTGTTGCTCACCTCTTGCTCTCTAGCAGCCCCAACCATAGCTCCTAGGGTTGGTGTGGTTCACCGGCGGCACCTGCTCTTCAGTCCTGTCTACACTGAGCCAGGCCCCACCCTACTATTCCACCCGTGTCAAATGCATGTGTTGGTGCACTGGGTGGGCTAAGCCCTTGAAACTGTGCCTGCTCAAGGTCCTGCTCCCATTGCTTCTGGGCATAACCGTTACATCTATTTTTTTTTTTTAATTGAAAAGTCAGATATACTGAGAGGAGAGGCAGAGAGGAAGATCTTCGATCTGTTGATTCACTCCCCAAGTGGCCACAACGGCTGGAGTTGCACTGATCCAAAAGCAGGAGCCAGGAACCTCTTCTGGGTCTCCCATGCGGGTGCAGGGTCCCAAGGATTTGAACTGTCCTCCACTGCTTTCCCAGGCCTCAAGCAGGGAGTTGGATGGGAAGCAGGGCTGCTGGGATTAGAACCAGTGCCCATACGGGATCCTAGTGTGTGCAAGGTGAGGATTTAGCCACTAGGCTACCACACCGGGCCCATAACTACTACATTTGTGCTGTCTTCTGCACTCCCCACCCCGGATCTCTGTTGTTCTCTCTCAGGTCCTGCTGAACAGCATGTAAGTCCCCTGGTCACCAGGAAATCATTTGCACAACATGAGTCTTCCAAAGCTGTGCTCATCCCCAGAGAGACATAAAGTTAAAATTCCAAAACACTGGGCAGGCAGGAACTCCACGCTTAGACACGAGATGTTGCTGGAATGGCAGTGAGCGTTGTGTCCCAGATCTACTCCCATCCTGGCTAGAGATCTTAGTTGCTGGCAGCTGGGACCCCAGGGCTCGGATAGGTTCCTCTGAGTGGCCTCAGCCTGCCATGCATGTGTTGTCCTCACTGAGTCCTTCCCCGCTGTGTCCAGATCAAGTCCACTTTGTGTAAGGACCCAGCTCCTTACGCTCCTGCCCTCAGAGCCTGGGCACAAATTCCAGGTTCATAGCAGGATAAGGTCCCCTGAAGGTGTGGGCCTGCAGAGATGCCCCCCACCTCCCCGACCCCCCAAGTCTCAGATCACAACAGCGAGTCTGTGGCCCAGCCAAGGAGAGAACAAGCATTCTTTACTTCCCTAGCCGCTGGCTGCATGCTGGAACCCTACAGCCTGGCCTGCTCTCAAAAGAGCCTGTGTCCAAAAGCCTCCCTCTGCCAGCGGCGGTGTGT